TTGATATGGACTTTGATTCCTCCAATAGGTATATAATACATTAAAGCAAGCAGTCGTATTGCTTACTTACGAGAGTGGCACAAACCACGTTTGTCCATGTTCATTCTTCATGGGGCAGATCAAGAATTCCTCTGTATTTGAACAGAGATTTGATAGTCCAGTTTTGTAGTAGACTTACAGATACTACTATTCCAGTAAGATAGTTTGCACTGTTGGTGCTGATTGGCAACATCACCCGTGACACGTAGACTAGGCAATACAAATACTTTTTGGTTGTCTTTGATATATAGGTTTTTCCTGTGTCCACATTTTTCTTGTGTGTGTCAGTATTTTCTGTCTTACTAAAGAAAGGCAGTTTTGGCACTTTTTGTCTCAAAATTGTGAAGCATTGCTACAGCTCTTTGCTGTTTAGGTAATTTCTTGCCCAGAGTAGGGTTTTTTGGAACTCAGACTTTCCTGTTAAAGGAAATGATGAAATGGAAGAAGTGAAGGCATACTGTGTGCTGTTGCATGCTGATAGCCACATTAAAGATTCTTCTTGCCAGAATTGTACAATATCATCTGAGATGCTGCTCCTTATAAGCAGATGAAAAGTCAGGTTGAAATGCCAACTCTTGCAACCCTTTCCACTTAGGGAAAGGCTTTGATGGAAGTAGCTTTGATTCCACCCAGGAATAACTTGTCTGACCCTTTCTTCACCACATCGGTCCTCTGGTCAGTCCCGAGATAGGAATTGCAGGAGTTGTCCCAGGTTTAGTGCAGCTTAACCAGATGTCTGCTAGACTTTGACTTTTCCCTAAAAATCCCTGGATCTCAAAGAGTAGTTGTTATTCCTTGCAAGTATCCTTTGAGCATTTCTTCTTTCTCTAGGAAATGGTTTTCTTCTGTTAGAACTTCAAAACACCTGGGAAACTGAGCCAATTTGGTGCTTTATATCCCTGAAGTCCCTTATAATAAATTCACTTATTTTGTGGGGTCTGCAAAAGCAGCAATCTAGTATTCAGGCAAGCTTGCTCTGGGAGTGCTAGAGGCCACAGAACATGGTGATTTGCTAATCTAAGCTAGTGTTGAAAAGATAAAAATATTAGCTTTTGTATAGTTGACCTCGTTTCTGTCAACAGACAAATTGTTTTGAGAACAGCAATGAAAATGTTCCTTGTAATGAAAGTGTCTGCTCTGGTGGGAGAAAGTATATTAGCTGTAAGCTTGTATTTTGGAGTATATTTAAGTGCTGTCTACACAGGAAAGATTTAAGTACAGCTTGGATGCAGGAGCCAAATTATATTTTGGAAACAGTGATGGAGGATATACAGTGCTGCAGTATACAGTGAGTTCAAAACCAAAAACCCCTGTTTGGTAAAACATGAAGCCCAAAGTGTGCTTCTAGACTTGGGTTTGAGGGCAGTCTGCTTTCTAAAGGTGAAATGGTGATATGTCTTGGCTGCCTCCCTCCTCATAAATTAAACGTGCCTGGGAATGTTCCCAGGCACCGTGGCCAACTGGCTCAGGACTGCCTCGTCCATACTCTTAAACTCTTAGCTACCAGGGCAGGGTGGCTGCATCTGAACTGCCCAGTGCCAGTGGTCCCGATGGTGTGCGACTCACAAACCTGGGAATTGTGTGGGAGAGCAGTAATTGGCACGGCCCAGTGCTGGGGAATGTCCTAGCTGCTTTCTAGCATACATGATCATGTTCCAGGGCCTGGGAATGTTTCCAGACAGGACTTAACTTATGAGTACAGATGTTAGTCCTTGATTCTTCCAAATTCTTTATGGACTAAGGCATAGAAGGACTCTTGACATCACAAGGGATTTGGGATGCTTCAGAAAGGTAGGTTTAGGAGAGAATGCCTCCTATTTATTTTGGGGCAGTAATTCTGTACTACTGAAAAATCTGTACCTCTTGTCTCCCTTTTAGATGGATTTAGTGGTTGTTTAAATATCTTTCAGAATGCAGTCACCTTCTTTCCAGGCACTACCTTTCTGGGTTGAGCAGGAGTGTCTGCCCTCCGTCATGGTATTGCTTGCGTATGAAGGAACGTACTGTGGCCTTTCATGGAAGTGCCGTGTATGAAGTATGCTTTTTATGGTTGTGAGGAATTTCATTCTGATTTGGGATGCGTGTGCGTGAATATTAAGTTTACTGTCTGGGTGACGTGGTGGGGGGACGGTCTTGCATCTTTTAGGCAGTGGATCTTTTATGTGAGCGGGAGAGTGGGGAGACCACTTTATTTCCTCAGATGTTTCTTCCAGTGAACAGCAAAAGCTGTGTTGAGCTGACTTTATTGATCATACAGGATGATTTCCTGCAGGCCCTTCAGTGTTTGATTGTGGATTATTGGAACTGGAGTATAGTCCTAGTGTAGATGAGCCAGTAAAACATTGATATTAATCCCAGCTGTAAGCATACGTACATCCTAGAAGACAGCATGTCATGTAAGCTGCTGAATATTGGAGAAGTTTTGCTCTAACTGATCACTTTTTCTGTACCTCCTGGCCTGCCCTCCCTCCATGGTGTCCTGAGTTTCATTGCAAGCTATGGCTCCGTCACACAGTCACTTCAGGATACTGTTTGTCTTTCCGTAGGTTATGGAATATGCTGTCAGCTTTGATAGTTTGAATATTTATAGAGAGAAGAGGTTAGCAATATAAAATACTGTTCCTGTTCATCGTGCTTTATCAAGGGCTATAAAATTTTACTTTAAGCTGTCTTAAGTCTTGCGTAGCAACTGTGTGGCATGTCACATTTACACCAGTGATGCACCCCACAGTTTTGGGACCGTGTAATCTGTGTGACAGCATCAGCTTTGGAGCACTGCTTTGTATAAAGGATCCATTGCTCAAAGGTAGTAAGCTGTCAGAGCTGACTGTGTCAATTAATATGCAGCAGGCTTTGTGTCTGCTGATTGTTCTTCTAATTTTAATGTGCGTGATGATCTGTCTTACCAGCAGTAGTGGTGCATATTCAAGGACACAGTATGGCGCAGGGATGCTCCCTGATGTCCCACAGGCTGCCTGTGTGTTTTCAGGGCAACTATTTCAATCCTTACGCAGCTTCTGGCAGCCCACCATCCTGGAGGCGTCTTCGGAATATGAAAAAGAGAGGTTGCAGGCTTTACTGATGCCGTGATGGTCAGTATCCCTCTTCTGCCCGCTCTGTTTCTGGAGATGTGTGATGCTGCCTGTGTCTGAGATGGATATAACTTCTTCAGGACAGTTGGCTCTTTTGAAGAGCGGGATGTATGTCAGAGAATGGGCCTTTGCGTGTGGCTCTGCTGCTCTCTACTAGACAAAAAGTCATCTAGTACAAGATTTTACTTGTGTCCATAATCCGTAAAATGTCAAAGGCCATATTTTATTCAACGGTTTTATTTGTGATAAATGCAGGCTGCTGCCCAAAATTACACTCTCGCTCCTCCTTCGTAGTGCTTGTGTAGCTCCACAGTGAATAGAAGAACTGATCTGGCTGAAAAGTAACTCAAAACATTAATTTTCAGCCACATGTTCTGTGGTCAGATAGCCAGTTCGTTGATTTGGGTTGCTGCTCAATTGCATGGACATTTCAGCCTCCCTGGAATGGCATTAGAAATGAGGCATGTGGGACAAAGCAAGAAGGGGACGAGAACCATTCGTTCCCTCTGTCAGTAGCCCACACATGTTTTATTAAAGTCACCGTGGAATTGAGGTGGTTGTCAGCCCTGAAAGTGGTTTTAAGTACAGTGCTGTGCTGTCTGCTCTTTTGTTTCATAACACTAATGAATTTTCCCTGTGTAGGGGCAAGAAATAAAAATACCTGCTTCACTTTTCTTTCCTTGAACACTCAATCCAAGCTTGGGAGTGTATCAGCTAAGCTTAATAGCTTAAATTTAAATAGCAAAGCCTGTATTTAAAACCAGGAGTTTGGTGAACTTGGATTCTTTCTGTTGCAGCTTTTCAGAGGCTATTAACTTTAAAGGTAATGTAGCAGCCAGTCAAACTTCAGGCTTTGTAATTAGGGAGTGGAGTTTTAAGTTGCTCATCAACCAAATTCTCTTCATTTCTGAGGTGCGAAGTCTAGTTGTGTGTTACTTATGTAAAATAAACCGTCAGTTTTCAGTGGTCACAGAGCTGTGATAGAGCTGAGCTTGATTTATGATTCTGAAAACGCGCTGCCCGTTTACAAGCCCATGCTGGTTTCTTGCTTTACTTAAATCTGCTGCTGCTTTTAGTTCGTGCTTATCAATGGAGGCTCCTTTTTCTTCACCAAATTGGTTCAATGACAAGATCACAACAGTAAAGAAATAGTTGTCTTTCCTTTCCTCCTGCTTGATTTAGCAATTAAAGTTTTGTTATTCTATAGTTAAGGCTTAAAATACTGTACTGTGAAACTGTGTTAAACATTCTGTGTTTTGTATGCAGTGGAAAAGAGTATTCAGTCTTTTAATCAAGGATAGTACAGAAAACAGAAGTATCGGTTACAACGCGCTTTTCTTCAGAGTCCTGTTGTCCTGTTTTGGGAAAAGCAGCAAATTAGTATATGCATGGAGAAAGAGATCAATGCTGAAGTGGTGGTACCTGAAAGTTAGGTTGTGATGTTCGGTTTCAGATACACATGGCCTTTGTTTGAAGTCTTAAGGAAGCTTATGTTTAAAAACAAACAAAAACAAAAAACCCAATCCAGAAACTACCCTTTAAAACTGAATTTTGTTAAGAGCTAGGCTGAGGAAGTTTTGCCTGTTTTAAGGAACATTACAACTGTATTGACTACTTAAAACCAGAGAACTTGTTCACCTTTTAAAAACATTACCATTTACCTTGAATCACGTGTTCCATTTTGATAGCCTCCTTCATATAGAAAATATAGCATGAGATGTCAGTTTAAATGCAAGTCTAACAATGCTCTATCTTCTATGTGAAAGGAAGTATTCTGTACATTTTTCCATGTTTGACATCATGGTGTTTTGAATAACCATGTTCCATATTCATATCAATTTTTTGTTTTTGTTTTCAATTTATGCACAGCACTTGCTCTGAAATTTGGGGACTGAGTACACCAAACACGATAGATCAGTGGGATACAACAGGCCTTTACAGCTTCTCTGAACAAACCAGGTGAATATTCTGCCCTCTCTCGCATCATAGAAATCTTGTGGGAGGGATTGGCTTTGGAGGGTCTGTAATGGGATGCTTTAGCTGTAAAATAGACTAAAATGCTTCCTAGGCCTCTCATGGTACAGCATTTTAAAATATTTGCTTGCCAGTGTAGAAATCCAAGTGTTCTCAGCTGATGTTTTGACCAATGAAACTCTAATTCTGGAATATTCCTTTTTCACGCCAGTGCCATTGAAAGAATGGGAAGACTTGTTAAATGCAAGCTCTAATGTGATTTGGTATTTATATTAACAAAGTTGGGATACTTAATTCCTTAGACCTAATCTTACAAAGTGTTTAAACTGCTTTGTACGCCACAAGCTTTCAGTTAAATCTTGCTAATTGGCTCAGATACGAGCTACTAAAGAATTGTTTGTAAATTCTTCAGTAGTTAATGGTGGGCAAATTCTAAACAGGGTCTTTATTTTTTCATGTCATATTACTTGATTTGTGTATTGAGGTTTGTCTCCCATCCCATAACAATCATGAACATCTGCATTTGTGTAAGCATATGCAGCCTGTCTTAAAACTAGCAAAACGTTTTCAGCTGGTAGCAAGGCAGATGAAGTCACGAAGATAAACTGTACAGCCCTTACAAGATGTGCATTCATGCTTTTTGCATTACAGTTATACTGCCGTGTGGATCACTTGGGCAGCTGACTGCTTATAGGCTTATTTGCAGTCCTGTGGGAATTCTTGTGCTTAAAGCCATAAAGTATCCATGCCACAGCAAAGCCTTGAGGTTTAGCAGTGGAAGGGACTATTAAGTGTGTGACTTTTTTTTTTCTTAACAACTGTCTTCTGCATTTAAAAAAAAAAGCATATGAAGCAATCACCCTAAATACTTGGTTGGAGGTAAAGTGGCTTTTAATGAACTCTAAATTCACTGGCAATAATTTGAGCAGCTCAAAAATAACTTAAGACGCTGCTCGATACCATCGTTTTTATCACATTTGAAGCCTTTTAACAAGAGTATAAATGTCACTAACAGTGTCAATCCACTGAATTCTGAGAATAAACTACCCATCCCATGTGTGTACACTGTTGCTTGAGCGATTAAGAGACAGCATGCAGTCTGTAAATGCTTCTCAACATCTTTCCCATATAGATCTCTCGATGGCCGTCTACAGGTATCTCATCGTAAAGGATTACCGCATGTTATTTACTGTCGTTTGTGGCGCTGGCCAGATCTTCACAGTCACCATGAACTTAAAGCAATTGAAAACTGTGAATATGCTTTTAATCTTAAAAAGGATGAAGTATGTGTAAACCCTTACCACTACCAGAGAGTGGAGACACCAGGTAGGAAGACTGCTTCTGACTTTCTATAGCAGCATCTGTACGTACTTGTTCAGCATAACGTTTTAAATGAAAAACAGAGAAAGATGATGCTTTCTCTTGCCAGAAGTACAAGATGATTAGAGATACAGCTTTTGAGAATACCATCCCCTGGAAGTTTTTAATGGTAAAGGTACTGAAAAAATCTTTTCCTTTACAAATGTGTTGGATAACTCAATAAACACTTCCAGTACCACTAGCAGTTTCCAGCTGGCTAAGCACGGTCCGGCATGACAAGGAGAATAGAGATGACTTACCTTTGCTAATGTGGAATAGTCTTACTCAAGAGGCACCTCAGGAATCTGTTTCTTCCGGTAACTAGCAGTACAATTGCAGTATTCACAGTGCTGAGAGTCAGAAAATTTCAAAACATCTGAAGAAATTGTTAGATACTTTAGATTTGTCTTTTTTCTTTTAGCTCACAGAAGTGTGTATTTTGAGGGTCTTACTAACGCTTTAAATTTTGCTTTTCCAGTCTTGCCTCCCGTACTAGTGCCACGGCACACTGAGATTCTAACGGAGCTTCCGCCCCTCGATGACTATACCCATTCCATTCCTGAAAACACTAACTTTCCAGCTGGAATTGAACCACAGAGCAATTACATACCAGGTATTTCTTAACTCCCACCATAAACAGTACACTTAACATTGTGCCACTGGAACAAAGATGGTAATTTCATCCTCCTAAGCAATCAAATTAATTGGAAGATGCACCAATAAATTAAAACTAGTTGATTTTGTGTATTAATTCCAATGGAAATACCTGAACACTGTTGTTTGCAGAACACGATCCTGTGTGAAACCACATTGCTGTGGTTTCACAACAGCTTACTTGGTTTCAATAGCTTATTTAAGATTCAAAATGCTAATGAGTACAAAGTAGGCCTTCACCTTATGCTTTAAGCCTCTTTTACAAACATATAGGGGTTGCCAAATGCTGTTTATTGGAGATTGAGTAGTAAACTGCTTCTCAGTCTCACCATGTGTAGTATGTGGAGAAAACTTTAAGTTGCAAAACAGTGACTTAAAAAGCGTTTTGATCTGTAGTTCACAACCAATGAAGGTCTGCTTTGTGTATTTGTTACTATTGTGTGCATACAGTTTTGTCTTTTTAGTATGAAAGAACAGCCTAACAATATTGAACTCTTAAAGAATTCCTCCTCCCCCCCTTTGCCTCTTCCCCACCCCAAAACAAATACCAAGACTAATGTGCTACAGCGCACCCGAAAGCCTGTACCCTTACTGAAACATAAAATCAGTGACCTTTTGTTTCCTGCCCCAACTTCCTGTTTCCTATCTCTTCAGGAAGTTGCCTGGAGTGTAAAACCAAGCAAAGCTGAAGTTCTCTCATAAATGTTTAATGCAGCTATGTTACGAACAAGCTGAAAATTCAGATCTGGACTCTCACGAGGAATGAGAGGACTTTCTTGAAACTCAAATATGTGCAATGTACAAATTGTATCTACATGTCTTAAACAGGATGTTGCTTGTGTTTTCTTTCAATGTATCCAAGAATTGAAACGGCACCAAAAAAATTTCAATGAATTTGATCTCATCTGTTTAATTTGTGCCACATTTGTTGCCACCTAGGGACAGCGGATCTTTAAAAGCAATTTAAGGTGCTAGAAGTTGGTGCTGCTTTCTTAACTTACGTATACTTTTTTGACTCAGTCTGAGGGCTTTTGATAGCATTTGCAGACAACTTACTGGAAAGCCACCATTTGAAAATCCAGTGCTATGGAAATGAGCTAAAGCAACTCTAGGTAGTTATTTGCAGGAAGTCTGTTCAAGGTGATCGTGGGTATTCGCATGATATTCAAATGTTTATGCAGCTAACCACATCTTGCCTCCTTCTCTTTGTCACTGACACCCTCCTGTTGTATTCATATCATGGCATCTTACTTTATTTGACCTTGCTAACTTAATCTTGAATACTTAGCTAGGTTCTGATAAGTTTTGTATGTCTTGACAGCCTGCTTCAGAGAACCCTTTTCTTTAGTGGTAGGCCAGACTAACAACCGTGCTAGTTTTGCACCACAATACCGTCGCAGTACTTGGTCTACAGAGAGAAACCATTCACCTACAGCTGGGAAGATGGTGATCGTGAAGGTGCAGGATGGCCTGCGGGGCTGTATGTTCCCTTTCAGGTTACGGATGTGCTGAGCTGCATTGTCCAAACTTCTGGCAGCATTCAAGCTCTGCTAAGAATTTTTAATGCCACGCTTGGGCATTTATTTCCAGCTGTGGTGGTGCTCAACCTCTGACCCTAAAACTGTATTAATAGTACTAGGTGGAGGAAACCTTCTCTGTTCAGACAGAGACTGGATATGGAAAATAATCTGTGCCAAAGAGCCTAGATTAGCAACTGGAAACAGGAGGCATGGGTTGGATTGGAAATGGTTATTGACCTTTTACCATGGCTGTGGGCTTAACTATAACAAATGATTTGGAGATGGGTGGAGTCCACTTTATCACAATGAATTCTATTAAAATGTTCAAAACAAGTATGATTTTTGTCGTCATACTTGTTGCTAATAAAGATTTCCCTTAATCTTCCCTTTAAATTCTCACTTGAATTTTGTCGCATCTATATTTAGCACACTAGTTTTGCAGAATGAACCAAAGATACAATTCTTTTTGTTCATTTTTTTATTCAATCAGCTGACTTGATCTAGTTTCCCCTCACTGACTTCCTTCTGATCTTACTATATTGCTGCAAATTTCAGACATGACATTTGATTTCAATTCTTAAGCAAAAGGCTTTATCTTTAAATTTCTGCTGTTTGGTAATAATGTAATTAAATGTGTTTAATCTCTCAGATGTCTCTGAGACAATTCTAAGGCGATTGTAGAGATAGCTTCAAACACTTTGGCTAAAGAAATCCAGGTTTTGCCTTTAATATATAGGAAAAGACATTTGCCCAGTTCAAAGGAAATTATTTCCTGAAGGGCGGTTGGTTAACTCATTATCTGGATTACAAAGTACATTTTGAATGGAGAAAAGGAACAACCATACTCTCCTGGGTTTTGAAGACATTTCTGTGGAATTAGACAAATTAGTTTCTAGTATCAGAATGCTTCAAACTTGTTACTGAGTTTACTTTGGTCTGGGAAACTCCATCTTTATAGAAAGCTAGTTAAAAGAATAGATGATCGTTCTAATAGAGCTTAGAAGTAATAATAATAACAGAGCTTGTGCAGCGTAACTAGTTAGATAATATGGTTATCATTAATGAGTAAAATCAACTGTTGGGTACTGAAGAAAAATGGATTTGGGGACTGAACTTTAAATCTAGCAACTTCTATAAGGCGTGGGAGGGTATCTGATCTGATGGTTATACTACATAAAGACAGCTCACTTTTTTTGTAGAAGTCACCAGATGGTTTTTTCATTTGTAATTCTACTAAATGTGAAAGCTGTTGATCACAATTGCAAAATTGTTACTCATTGACATGAAAGTATCTTGTATTAAATGGAACAAACAAGGATTATATGTTAATTATAGAACATATTTGAGCAATTGACTGCCATACAAGAGAGGATACATTTTATGTAGACAATAAGGCAGGTAATGCATTTGAGGTCCCACTGGAAGGAAAAAGGGACAGTAAAATTAAATTCTAATTCAGTATTCAGGTATCATATGAACCTCGTGAAGACTTGAGGACAAAAACCCCAAATGCTAAATCTTACAAATTTCCTCAGTCATTGAACCAATAGGTGGATTTTTTTTTTGACAGAAACACCACCTCCAGGATATATCAGTGAAGATGGAGAAACGAGTGACCAGCAGTTGAACCAAAGCATGGATACAGGTAACATTTATTTTTTCACTCCTCTCAAGACTTGGGAATACTAGTTGTGATCCCTCTGCATAGTGGCATGAATTCAGCCCAAACGATGATGGCAGTAGCCCTCTGTACAACCTGATGTTTTCTGTTTAAAATATCACTTTCAGTGTTTTGTGAAGGAAATAATTTTTTGCTAGGGGAATGCTTTTAAAACATTCTGTGCCATGTTAAGTACCTGTCATTTGTTTCGTAATAAAAGCATACAGGTCTAAGTCTTCATCAGAAAGCCATAAAAAAGATTTTAATAGTTGACTGGTTTCAACTTCCCCTGACTTTACTTTCTGGAAACAGGTTCATTGAAGCAAAATGTCTGTTTGGCCTAAGCAAGTTAAAAGAAATGCTGCATTTTGAGAACTTGTCTCTTAACTCTGACCACCTTACCATTTCTGCCATGTTTCAAATTGATTCTTGTATGGAAGGCTCTATTGAAAGAGTAGTAGAAACATTAAGCATTTGTGCCTTTGTATGAAAGGGTTTCCAGATAATCTGGTTGGCCTTAGACTTGGACAAAGCACAGTTCATGTGCTGGATAAGAACCTCCTGCTATGTGCTGGCAGACTTGTGTGTGTGCTTGGTTAGCTAATGTTAGCAACCTTTTTCCAGTTAATTGGAATCAACTGCACTAGTTTCTGTAAGAACTGCAATATTTTCCCACTATGTGACAATAGGTACCTTAATTAAAAAAGCCTGATGTGAGCAGTCATTGTAGGAATGTTTCTGCGCGAAGCCTCTCTGTATTTTGCCTACTAGTGCACAAATTGTGTTGGAGAGTTCATGTTTTTCTGAGTTTTTTCCTTCCTCCTTCCAGGAAAGAATAATTTCCTCAAATGAGGAAATCCAGCTTGTTCTTTTCTAGAGATAAACCCTCTCCTTTGAGAATAGAGAGGTAATATCTTGATTGTCTTGTCCGCTTTTTCTTAGCTTTTTTTCACTGAATTTGGGAAGAATTCACTACCTTCTCCCTAGAGAAGTGCATAAATAAAGTTAAGTTCACAGGGTGTGCATGAAGTGAGAGCTCTCCCAAATACAACACTAAGATGTTAATCGAGTCTTTGCAAGGAGGGGTAGGTTCCCAGGAGTCTGGAAAATTAAATGTAATCTTAATTCAGAATAATCTTAATCCAGAATAATCATGTGACATGCTGGAAAACTGGTTGTAGGATTTCTGAGGTTTCTTATTCCAAAGACTTTTAATGTAAAACTATATCTAGATAATGGTCATACCTACCCTTCTGAAATAACAAGAATCGTTTGCTCTGAAACAATCTGTATTGCTTCAACAGGATCTCCAGCAGAGCTGTCTCCTAGTACTCTCTCCCCAGTTAATCATAGCTTGGGTAAGCCGGAAATACTTTTAATTGTTTCTCTGTGTGTGATGACTCTTCTTTATATATATAATTACCTTAAAAATGAAAATGTACTTTAAAAAAGTAAGAGCTGTATTAGGAGGAGACTATTGGGTTGGCTTCCTGATGATAAACATGATAGAGCTGGGTTAATAACTTGTTAATAACGCCTCTATTTCTGTAACTGTTGAGCTTCTAGCAAAGAGAAAGAATAATATAGTTGTGTGTGTGCAGGAATAGCATTTATTAAATAAATAGTTTAAAGGACATTAGCCTATCCATAGTGGTGCCCAGACTTTCTGTCTCCCTTGTGTGTGTGTTCTGCTGCTCTTCTCATGTACTGTTTCACCTGCGCCCACAACACAGTTGCTGTTCCCGCATTAGTTGCCCACCTGCTTTGATCAGGTGCCATTGCTGTGTGTCTGTATAAATGCCTCAGGAAGATCAGATTCCCTTGGGTTTATTTAAGGAATGGTGACAGGATGTGACAGGAAAATGCTGTTCGGAATGCTGAGTGAGTAAGTAGGGTAGGTAAAAAGGGGAAGCAGCGCAGGAAAAGCTGAAGGTGCACGGGGAAGATACTGAGCTCTAGTAGGGGAGAGTAAAAGGAGCGTAGAGCTGCCTTTAGATAAAGAGGCGGTGTATGATATAGTGTAATACAAGGGAACATCATTTTCATAATATTTTTTGCCTTTGTGTGGTTCAGTGTTTGATAGTTTAATCTTTTCTTTAACGGTGCCAAAATGTTTGCAAGTTATAGAAAGGCAACAGAAATGTCTCAACGTCTGGCACTGACAGCAACATTAGCTTAATCATTTTACCAAGAAAAATGCAAGTACTGAATTACATGAGCTGTGGTCCGATTAGATCACCCCTTCTTCCCCTCCTCCTTCCCTTGTGTGGAATATTGAATTCCATTCTGTTTACTGGGGTAGGTAAAAATGGCAGCAAGCAAAATATAATTTGAGTAGTTTGAGACTACCGCTGTCGTTTCTGGAAGAGATGAATAGCAGGGCAGATAGATTTCTTTTCAGCCTCAAATTCTGTGTTTTTTAAATTTCTTTTTAGACTTGCAACCAGTTACTTACTCGGAGCCTGCGTTTTGGTGTTCAATAGCATATTATGAATTGAATCAAAGAGTGGGAGAAACCTTCCATGCATCACAGCCTTCTCTGACCGTAGATGGCTTTACAGATCCATCAAATTCAGAACGGTTTTGTCTAGGTCTGCTTTCCAATGTAAACAGAAATGCTACAGTGGAAATGACAAGGCGACACATAGGTAAAAATCTCTCATCTTTTAACTACATAATTTCATTTTAGCCGTTAAATTATCTGGAATGATCCAGGTAGGATGGCCAGATCTGTGTGTTGGGATCCTTTCACTCTTGTGCAGCCAGCCATTGAGCTTCTCTCTCGAGGCTTGCCAAGGAGAGCTTGGTCTCTCTTGCTGTGTGGAAAGACACACGGGTCACCGCTTCTGAAATCAGGGAGAAACGTAGCAGCTTCTGCTGCCACAGCCAGCTGCAATTGGGAAGAGATGTAGTGATGGCTGGAGCTGAAAGGAGCTGCCTTTCCTCAATCCGTAGTCACTGAGTCGGTGGCAGCAGCAGTCACACAGCTGTCAGGCTGAGAGCGGCACAGGAGGAAGCCGCTCAACTGTATGGGATTTCTGTTGCTCATGTTGCTGTTCTCTGCCTTCTGGAAAAAGGTGACGCACCGAAGCATCCTGAGGGGCAGGTTCTTGGCTTTCAGGTTCCTCCTTGGACCACTCTGCCCTGGGTAGCATTTATAGTCAGACTTGCTTATCATGGAAATTTAAGCTTTAATTACAAAATATTAACGTGTTGCTTAGTTTATTCTAATTTACAAAATGCAGAATGGACATTGGTAGTACTTCTTAAATTCTTTTCTGAAATGGGAAAAGCTGCCATTGAGATAACACGCTGTTTCGACATGATCAAGATTTTCTTTGTAGTGGTTAGTAGAGAGTATTGTTTTCCACAATGCAGCATCTTGGCTTTAAGTTTTTCAATAAACTACTTTTTTCTTTTTTTTTCCCCTGGATTCTTTTATTTAGCAATATTCACGAGTTTTTTTTGTTTAGTAGAAAAAGTTCAACCTCTTTAGTAGAACCTTCTGACTACCTCTATGCCAAATCCAAATGCTTGTCTAATAAAATTTTAGATGTGCAGAAACCCAGGCTATGCCTGTGCTGACTGATCAAAATGGTCAGTGATGAGGAAAAGCAAAAGTGTTAAGGAGCTCTCACTTTTTTTATAGAGCAGCTCTCATTTTGCTTGAACAATAATTTTAAAGAAAAAGGGGAAGAGAAACTATCGTCTTTAAAGGACCTGTTAATTATAAATAGTTTTCTTTGGGAGATCAATTGTATGTTACTTCTCTTACTTGTGCTAGAAATAACCCATACAGATTTTTTTCCACTCAGAGAGAGAGAACAAGATCACAATTTAAAAGTGAGCAGCAGGATTTCTTAGGGGTGTTTTTTTGTAATAGGGCTAAGTGAAGTCCTGTTGGTTTTGTCAAAGTAGTACAGAGAAGGGTTATGCAGTGGGTTGTGAAATAGTGTGGGTGCATGTAAGCGGAGAGTGTTGAAGTGGTATGCTTGTGTTTTCCTTTTTTGCCACTTCACAGACAACACTTTATATTGGCACAAGTTTTAATTCTGTTGAATGTAATCTTTTTATTTCGGTTTGGGTATTTCTTTAAGTGAAAAAGGTAATGTACACTGCTTCCTAACTTGGCTTTGGTTACAAGCCGTTGGCTTGTAGAAAATTCTGTCTCGCTCTTGACAGAAGATTATTCTGCTTCTCCTTCAAATATTGTGTGTTCGTGGGAGAAAAATGCAAGTTAATTGTGTTCTGCTCCTGCTACAGCTGTCAGCCCAGCAGTGTGGTCCTGTAGATAATTGATTTCTGTTGTAAAGAAAAACCTTGGCCTTCTCTGAAACAAAATACTCCCTTGTTTGTTAATCTGCTTGGGTCATGTCATAACTAGAGTTCCTTTGAATTTTGCTACAGGAAGAGGAGTACGTCTCTATTACATTGGCGGAGAAGTTTTTGCTGAGTGCCTAAGCGATAGTGCGATTTTTGTTCAGAGCCCCAACTGTAATCAAAGATACGGCTGGCATCCTGCAACTGTGTGTAAAATTCCACCAGGTTAGTAGCCTACCAAAGGTCTCACGCAAACATATCTAGTGAATGTATTCACTGGATGACATTTGCTTTCCTTTTGATACCTAGAAGGGGTTTCTTCATAGTTTTGGGCTTCTGTGTAGCAAACACAAGTATTCATTGATTGTACCCTTTTGAATTTTTTTTTTGTTTTATAGGATGCAATCTAAAAATCTTTAATAACCAAGAATTTGCTGCTCTTCTGGCTCAATCTGTGAATCAGGGTTTCGAAGCAGTTTATCAGCTTACTAGAATGTGTACCATAAGAATGAGTTTTGTTAAAGGATGGGGAGCTGAATACAGGTAAGGAAAAAACCTTTGCTTTTAAATTTAAAGTTAATTTTTCTTCTTTCACTAATACACTATTTCTGTCTGGCTTGAAAGCCATATGTACAGGCTTCTTACTGCTATTGTAGATATGCTGACTGCAAGTTGAACCGATATTTTCCTTCCCCCCCCCTCAGCTATGGAGCTGCTAAGTCATAAAGACCAGTGAACTGATTTTAGTATTGCATTGAAGTCAGCTGTTGAGCAAGGAATGTCGTCAAAGTTCCATTTCCTCGCTCAGTCCTGCTTGCTTGTGTATTGTGGTGAAACCACTGACAACATCTAGAAGTCTCAGAGTTTGTGCTGTGAGGTTATTCGCCGTTTTAGACGTACGGTCGTTTTGGTCTGTGTCCTGTTCTATATGGAGTATGAGTTTGTTAGGTTGTGGTGCGGGATGCAGCTGATGGTACCTGACAGAAAGAATTGGAGTCACTTGGGGTGCATTCTGCAGAATAAAACAGCTGGAGAACACATATTTAAGGGATGGCAAATATGTTGGAACTTGTAGCTGCTAAAGCTTTGCAGGAGTAAGATGACTGTGTTTATGCAGTAAAACTGCTAAAACCATTTTTTGAGTGGAAAAAATATTTTTTTATCTGCTTCTGAATAGATTCCAATTATATTCTCTATTAGCATAAACTAAGAACTATAGTTGAGGACTGTGCCTGTTTTTAATGTAGTATGGGAATTGGGGAAGAAAAGGCATTGACTTCTAACTGAGCAGTATTAAAGATTTCATTATTTTGGAGACCTAGAGATGTGGTTTTCAACAAATCCCTTAAACCTCTCTAGAAATTGTCCGCTGAAAAATGAACATATCAATGACATATCAATACCCTATTTCAATACATAATGATTTTTTAAAATCCATATCGTTTCTGAAGTTGAATAATGGCATATAGGTTCCACTGTAAATCCTGGAGTTTCGATTCTTTTATCTGCCCTTGAAATATATACATGCAGATAGCAGCGTCAGTACGTGGGGGAGGCTTCTCGGCTAAATGAAGCCAATTTTGTAAAAGCCTAATTAGATGAAATGAGAAATTTGAGTAATGGAATAAATTGGTACCTCTTTGTTAGCAAGAGGTACACAAGAAAGAATCTGGCTCAAGTTTAAAGAACTGTTGGATTTGGCTCAAAAGGCGTATGTATACACTTACGCATAATTAAATACAACATTCAAATCAGAACAGAAGAAAGGCTTAATCAGTCAGATTATATGGAGACAACTTGAAGTGAATGGATTGTAAGTGCTGGGTTAAAACAGTGGGGAGGCTTTTGGTAAAGTTATTTCTAAGGAGAGAGAACGTTGGTTGTTAGTAGTCGATAAACCCTTCAGAGATCACAGGGTTGAAAAAGCTCCAGTGGAAACCCTGCCAGAACAGCACAGAAACTGATTACTGACATAATGCTGAACTAGTTTCTTTGCATCTCTGTTTAAGATGGTGCTAATAAATTATTGATGCACAAAACTTGTAAGTTACGCTGCAGTTGTGATTAAAGCAAGAAGAGGTTGCTCCTGCAAGCACAACCTTGAATTTAAATGAATGTAGCCTGAGTTGTCAAAATAGACCAGGAAGCAGGGTAAAATCCATCATTCTTGTTAAAACTTCAGTGCTTCATTATTGCGTCAAAAACACATTTCTCATGGAACAGGCTTTGGTAAAGCCAAGGCATTACTGACATTTTAGGCTTATGGCATATGTGCATAAAGGTGTAGATATGGCAAGGTGGTAGATTTTATAAGCTTGGTAGACAAAACAGCTTAGAGCTTTTTGCTCGATACACGTTGGCTTGAATTGAGGATGGTGGTAGAAGTTCAGATCGGCAATCAAGAGTTCACGTTAACACAGGAACTCTCCAGGGCTAGGATCATCTTCCGAAGAAAGTTAAGTAAAGGCAATTACAGCAAAGAGACTTAGTGATACATGAGCTGGAAATCCATGGCTAGAAGAGGCTGAGTTTTAGCTTTGAGACAGCTGCTAAGTGACTGTCACTATTTTATCAGCTTTTGCCAGTGTAGTGCAAAGCCAGGGCTGTTGAACAGAACCAGTTATAAAATTTTGAGGAAGTGTGTTGTGGAACACATTGTAGGGGAGTTGACAGCGGTGGAATAATGAATTTCCTTCTTTGGGAGAGGATTCAAGACTAAATGGAATTATATTTCCTGTGGTTTAGATTGTTCTTTTATTGGATCACTTTGTTTTGGCATAGGCATTCAGGGCTAAGATAACAATGTTTTTGAGAGTGCTGAGAGAGCACAGACCCCAGCCACTTTCTTCTCCTAGAAAATGTGAAACCACAGACAACTTTTGAAATCCATCCTCTCACTGGCTTAATCTTTCTGCCTTTTCAGTTCCTCTGTTTATATAAACAGATTTCCTTGAAGCGAAGGGTTGCAGTGCCGACAGTAAAAATGAAGGGGCTGGGTTTGTGTCTGACTGATCTGCTGCCTTTGAATCTTAATGCCTCCTTGCTTTGACTTTGGGATAGCTAGAAATTACTAGGAAAAACTGGCTTGGCAACAGTAGTCTTGCCAGTCTAGTTTGGGAAAACTCCCATGCCTGGAGTGGGTACAGTGAAATAACAGGATTTCTCAGGCAGAGTATGTCCAATACTGATTTCTTCACTTTGGAGATGAGAAGGAAGATTTTTGAGTAACAGGTCTCTGAAACAAAGATATATGGGAGAGTGAATGAAGCTTTTACGGTTGTAAATCCTTCAGCTTTACTGAGCCTTTCTATATGGTGTTTAATGAAGGGCTTCTATTGTGGAAAATTATAGGCAAGTTTATATAGAAGACAAGGGAAACACAATTTTTACTTAACTTGTTTGTGTGAGGATGTTACAGTACAAAACACATGCAGAAGTGTAAGATTACAGGAAATCGGAGATAAAGTTTGGTGTTCCTTCGAGATAGCATCAGTTAGCACAGTGTAACCACACACTGTTTTGACGTAGTGTTTCTGACAACATCTAGCAGTTTCCTTCTACATTTCTTGTCAATTGCTCCAAAAAGCCAGACCTTATGATTGCAATAGTATCGTGCTGCTTGGCCCTGCTGACAGTGCAGAGCCAGGTGTTTCTATTCCGTATTTCTCAGTAGTTGTCTGCAAAATTCAAACCCGGTTATGCATGAGGACTCTTTGAAGGTTGAGATACAGCTGCACGCAGCTATCTGATGTGAACACCACATTGGTTGGACAATCTTCAGGTTTGAATTTCTTCTTAGAAGTAAGGCTTTTGGTGTGGCACTTGAAGCAAATGCTGCAGTCCTTATCTCATTCTCCAGAGGAGAATATTCTCGATGTATTATGGACAAGCATGTAATTATTGATGTGTGTTATAGATATGGGGTGTTTGGGGGTTTTTTGTTGCCTTTTTTTTTTCCTTCTTCAAAGATGTCTGAAAAAAGCTTAGTAACAGTTATGGTAATGGTTGCAGATTTTTATCTTTCTGTGTAGTAGATGTGATGGAGAACTTTATGGCAGCCGAAGCTGCTTTCTGACTTTGCTATTACTCTTTATTTTCTAGGCGGCAAACAGTAACAAGCACTCCTTGCTGGATTGAACTTCATCTGAATGGACCTCTACAATGGTTGGACAAAGTATTGACTCAGATGGGCTCCCCTTCAGTACGCTGCTCCAGCATGTCGTAAAACTCCTTCCTCCGTTACCAGTGGGCTAAATATCGAGTCCAATCAACAGACTTAATATAACAGCTCGTCTGTCGTAGTATTTGTGTGTGGTCCCCATGAACTGTTTACTATCCAAAAAGGTTTTTAAAAAAAAAAAAAAGAAAAACAGCACTTGAGGTCTCATCAATTAAAGCACCTTGTGGATTCTGTTTCCTATACTCTGATACTAGATGAAAATTTAGTGTATAGAAATGCCTTCTTCAGAAAGAAGAAGGGACAGTTCTAAAGACTCTTAATGGTGTTTTTATTGGGTATATAATTGAGTGTCCTAATGGTTTATCAATAACATGAATAGCTAAGTATATGTACAGGTAATGTATCATGATCTCAAATATCACAGTATTGTTGTTCTACATCAATAACATGAATAGCTAAGTATATGTACAGGTAATGTATCATGATCTCAAATATCACAGTATTGTGCTGTTCTACATTTTAGTTCCCATAAATAGTCGTTTGTTTTTTTGATTGGGGCAAATCTCTCATAAAATTCCAAGACTCTACTCCTTTATTCTTTTATATTTTTTTATATAAGCAGGTTTTCGAGTTGTCCTAAACATAAAAAGCAGACTTTCCTTGTAGAAAAGCTTAACTTTTTGCTGCCTTCTTAAAGAAAAAGAAAATCCCTCCATTGGAAGGGAAAGAAATGTCTCGAGATTCATCTGTGAAATCTTAAGACACTTTATATGCTTAATGGGGCCTAAAATGAATTCATATTATAAATTCCGAGTATCCATCACACTAGGAGTCTACTTTTCCCTACCCATCTGAGCTGATGCATCTGTTGCAAGCAGTTTTGCTGGCACAGATGTAATTTGGGACTTTTTTGTACTTTGAATCATTGAAATCAGTGTTTTTTCTCATAGAATGAGAATTTACTGTAGCATTGGATACTGGCTTTCAGTACACAAGGTTATTGGCTTACCCCTTACATCTGTATTTTTTTCATTAAACAGATGTCGCTAAAAATCATGGGTTTTAGTTTTTGGAGCCAAATACCTTGAAAAATCCTTTCCCAGGGTAAACTAGACTCTTTCGTATAGGTTTTAAATAGATGCAGCTTCTTAACATATTTCAGTAACAGAATTTAAATTTCTGATCTGAGTGGCTTTGTATAGCTTACTTACATACCAGATCATACGCATTCATTATGTCATAATGGGCCTTGTTATTAAAAGTAGTTGCTTCTGCAAAACCTCTAGGATAGTGGTTGCTGAGGTATGACCAGCGAAGGAGGACTTCTAGGTTCTTCGTGACAGTGCATGTTATTGTGAACCCTTGGACACTACAGCTGCACCATATTAAAAATATTCTGAAATATATTCTACAAATAAGTCTGGGTTGGGGAAGGGTTGGGAAACTGTATAGAAGGGTTATTCTGACTTGAAAAATATACATCTTACTAACAATCTTGTGATCTAGCTGTCTGTCATTCTTCTGTTATCGTGGCAGTAGCAGGATTGCCTTTGTCTGTTTTTCCCATTGTTTCATCCATTACACTAGTACTGTACTTTGTAAGTACAGCTAGTGATAACTTAGCTTTGAGAACAAAAATGTGGCCAGTGTTACAGCTTTTAATCAGTTGACTGAATTGATGATCGTGATGGATATTTTTATGCCGTAATGACTAGGGCATAGAAGCAATACCAAAAATCAAGCCTTGAAAAAGTGGGCCGGACACCTTTAAAAAAATTGGCAAAGCAGTTACCAGTTTGTGCTAGTTTTACCAGTAGACTAATGTATTGGTAGAACTTGTGAACCTAAGAAATAAGCTTCATGCGTGTTGCATTTGCCTAATATGTGAATACACTAATAAAAGTTTTAATTCTCATGATGGCTGGTTTTTTTTATTAATTGCTGTACGTATCTTCTGTTGAAGGTTAGGAATCATTCTAACCCACCCAAATAAACAGCAAGTGTCCTGCATGTTGTGGCTGGAAAGGTGTAGTTTAGATGTTAAAAATCACTTCTTACACAGCTACCGTGGAGGTTCTGGATCTGTGTGTGTTTAATGATACAGGCTTCTACTCCAGATCGAGTTTATTAAATCAGTTGCTTTTTCCTACCATAATCAAATTACATCCTACTAGCTCAGATGTTTACTTTCACCTGTGAAACAGTTAGATAAGAGCGACTTGTCTGGGTGAAAAGACTCCATTGCGTTTATGAGCAGGTTGCAGCTTGAATCAGTTGGGTGACCTAATTCTGTAGTCTCCTTACTGCGGATTTCTGTATGTGTTCTTTCAGTTACGGCGATATTACTTGCTTTGCCTTGAACATTGTAATAACCTTGACTGTACCCTTTTTTGGTGCGCGCTTCCAAGTAGCGTGCGAGGACGCTGCAGGCATTATCTGTGGACCTGTGGTGCTGCCTGCGTGCAAGGCCATCTCAGTCTGTGCAGAAGTCACTTCTTTTGACTTCTGTTAGTACCGCTAAAATAATTCTCTCCTGCCATTACCGCTTCAGCCACAGCTTAGTGGAACAAGGGAACTTATCTGCATTCGAAATGTTTGCTTGCCTGTATTTCATTTAAATGCCTTTGGCAGTTCCTGAGTAATTTTAACCTACTCCTGTTTCTTAATCCAGTGCCCTTCTGATTTATCCCACTGCTGTTCTGCTCTTCCTCAAAATCTGACAAGTGCCTGCTCAAGCATCTTAATGTGGAATGCCTGTGGTACGTAAGGAATGTGACTTCATCCCTCTTCTCTTCTGCCAGTCAAAGTACTGCTGTCCAAAGTACAAATGAAAAGTGAATTATTTTTTTTCAATGAGGCTGTCTTGTTAAATAAAATACCTACCAAGCAGGGAGCACTCAGCTGGAGATACTTTAAGTATGGGTAGCCAGCTGCTTATCTGTATTGTGAAGCTGGAAAAACTCCGTATAGAACTGTTGCCTTAAGTTTGGACTGGGGTACCGTGTCTGGGTTCTGATCTCTCTCTTGTCACCAGCCCTGTCTGAGCTTGATTTTCATAGCACTGCCAAAGCCAAGGAATCAAAAATTAGGTAGTTGATGTAAACTGAACCTAAAAATTATTTCCGAGTTGCTTTTTAGCAGCTTGGATGCACTGAGCCGACATTTCAGAATTCCCCCCCCACCCCCCCCAGGGTAAAACCCAGTTTCATGTAGAAGTTCTTCCAGTGCCAGGGCTGGGGCTTCGAGAACAATGTCCAATGCTTGGAGTCTCGCACCTTTAAACTGTGAGAATTGATAGCAGACCATGGCCTCTGTGCATTTCCCCCTTCCTTTGTGCATGTCTCCTAGCTAGGTGGGCAAGCGCTCTGCAACAGGAGTTCTCTGCTGTTACTTTAGCGTCTTGCACGGAGCCCTTTGGCTTCCAGGTGCTGTTACACAAATCTAGAATGTGGTGAGAGCTGAGGTGTTTTCTTGTTCTTATTCAGGACGTTGTGCTAATCAGAACTTAACCTCCTTGAGACTGATTGCAGGCAGACAGTGTAAATAGTTTAACTTCAGACTCGCTGTATAATCAGCAGGGAGAGGTATAGTCTGAATTTGGGGCTCTGAATTGCTCTCTGGTAGAGGCTGTTGGCTGAGGCGCCCGATACAAATGCATAAAGGAAGTATGAATATCTGCCTTAAAAAGTTCTTGGGTGCTGTCAAAGTAGTCAGCTTAGACGTTTAAGAATAATAGCTTTAAACTAATGTACACAGTAAAAACCAGAAATCACAACTACCGTACTTCAGTAAGCTTTTTATTTTTATGTTTCCAACTTGACTTTTCGTGTTGAAGTGGGAGGGTGTGACGTTTGGGGGTTTGATAATCATCTGCAGCTCTAAATTGTTGGCACAGGGAACTGTGAGTGTTTTGTTTTAACCTTCAAACTTGTCATACTTCATTGTGGTTACGGCTTTTTTTTTTTTTTAGCATTGCAAACTGAAATTTTACTGCAGCTGGGTTTTGAGTTAAAATATTGTGAAATACAGGATTTCACTATACTCCACCCACACAGTGTTTTACTTGAGCATGAAGCAGTGTTCCTTTTACCAAAACAAGTTTGACTATAACCTGATTTTGGGGACGCTGAAGCTTCAATACTAGCTCTGAAGAGTCAGTGAGGTACTGTCTTGGTTAGAAGAATGACACATATCGCAAGTAACGTGCCAGCTGTATTAGAAAGTGCTTCCAGAAGGACCTGCTCAGGGAATGAAATTGCAGCTGGTCTGAAAGTTTATTACTATTCAGAAAGTATTAATGAAATGTGTGTTTTCCTGACCAGTTAAGCTTGGCTAGTAAATAACCATCACGACCCGTATTAAAGGAGGCCATTTAAAAATAACCTTCAGTCATGTTGGTCCTCTCTTCCATCTCTCTTCTGTAAAAAATTCTCCAAGTAAGGTCACTGTTTCTTCTCTTGGGAAAGCACAGTTTGTGGAGTAAGTTTCTAGTACTAGATTGTCACAGCTACGAAAACTAGAATCAAGGCTTCAAAGCTGAGAACAGGCTTTGATGTTACATTAGCTGTTGTTTCATTAACTGTAATCGGGATTAAATCTAGTTAGTTGGCAGAAGAAAAATGAATGACAAATAATGGATCTGTAAAGATGTCAGACCTCGATGCTCTTGCTCCTTTTCCCCCATGTGGAAGACCTAGTCAGAATGGATTCAGTAAAGCCCCAGTTGCTTGGTTTGGAATAGGATCCAAAGTGGCAATGGACATATATGCTCCAGCCCTACTGGTGGTTTTTTTTTCCTTTTAATTTGTGACAGTGAAAGTTGAAACAAAGCTTCTGTCACTCTTGATTTTTCTGCGTTAGCAGCATCTAGCTATTTTGCTCGTCTAAAGCTGTAGTAAGGTATCGTAAAAAAAAATTATGTATGCCTCATGAATTAATTGAGCTTATGAGCAGTGTGTACCTGAGGCTGCAAATTCCGTTTGATTTTAAAACTTACCTTTTGCTTTAAAGTCTGCCTTACTTGCCTTTTCATTTTGAAGTAAAATTCCAAGACCAACTGTTGTGGCACCAAGCGTAGAAAACCATTGAACTTAGGTTGTGCCAGCAGTTGCAGCCTATCTTCGGGTAAAGGGGTGGGCGCTGTCCATCAGTTCTTACTTGATCTTTGAAAGGAGCGGTCTTGGCGGTTGGTCACCTTTGGTCAAGGAGTAGTGAGGCAGGGAGGCTGGAGCCTCGAGCACGCAGCCGGTTTACAAGGAAGGCGGAGTTGAGGGAGGTCAAGCTGTAGAGCCGTACTCCGGACCAGGGAATTGCAGACTCCCAAGGGTTAATTGTGATATGCTCCAAACGCTTAAGAGATACAAAACAGTTGGACAGGGAATAGTATACAGGTAAGCTTAGGTTGTCTAGATTCATGAATTACTTTGAAATAAAACTAACGCATAATGGGTTTAGAAACGCTTCAGAAGTCCTGTCTCTTCTGTTTGTGTTGCACGTCCTTGAAGAGTTGATCTGTAGGATTCACAAAGTGAAGCTGAGACAAAGATGCGCTTAAGCTGTTGAGATTTGGGTGGGGGTTATTCAGCATGGACTCTCCAGGGCTTTCACAGCTGGGTGTTGGCGTATTTTTTTCCTGTGGGATCACTGATGGAGCCTGTGGTTAAAAAAAAAAAAAAGCAAGCAGCCTCAGGTAGGAGGGGCAGGCTTCTCAGGAGAGGAGCAAGACTTGATCCTACTGAAGCTCCGAGATGAGTAAAATTTATCTTGCCACGAAACAGTGGCACGGGCAGTGCCGAGATTTGTGAGCCGGTGGAAATCCGAGTAACGCCGCGTGGAGAAAGGACTGTGTACTATCGGAGGGGATGTTAGCTCAGGTACAGGTCCCGGTGACGTTTCTTACGGACCTGAGCCAAGTTGTGCTGTGCGTCTGTACTGTGCTTCCTCACGTGCTTGGTTCCAAAGCTAGCAGAGGCAGATGAAGCTTGGGCTTGTCTGCGCTGCCAGCGTAGATGGGTAAGAGCTCAACAGGGTGCACTTGAAGGTTGAATGAACGTTCGCTACCCAGACTGCTGTCTAAGATGGAGAAAGGACTTCAGGCTTAGTTGCCGTGTGTTTCTGTAAGCGGTCTGCTGAACAGCAAAGAGCATTGACTCTGGTAGAGGAGGATGTGGAAGAAAAACTAGATTTGTAGTGGGGAGCAAATGAAATTGTCTTTTGGATGAGGACTGTCATGCATCTGAGGAGCTAAGCAGTCTCAGAAGTATGGGAGGACTGTCGAGCACTGAGGCAGGCTGTGGGTTGGGAAGGACTGTCTGTGGTTGCTCTGGAGAGCATCCACCTCCAGACTGGATATACCTAACAGGATCCTGGTTTACAGAAGAGTTGCGTATACAGCACTGAGGTGTACATTCATACGCCAACATGAACCCTCTCTCCTCTTTTTGTAGTTAGGCCTTGGAAATGATACCATTAATTGAGGAACAATAAACAACAATCCCCTTCTAGACAAGTACGCTCTCTTTTCTTTTACAGCTTCAGAAGTCTGAGAGCCCAATGGGAGGAAAAACCACAGCTATTAGCAATGCTGATGTTAGTACTGATGTGGGGGAAAATATCTTCGTAATGTGCTCAGACTTTGAGGTTTGAGCGGCGTAGGCAAAGAGCCAGGGCTGAGAAATACTGAGGTTTAGTAGAACAGGGAAAGTGGTGGAGCTGGGAAAAAAAAAAGAGAGAGTGGCTGATGCTCAGCTTCAGCAGTGATACGCAGTCACAAAAGCACCCTTACCAGTTACCTGAGCGCTCTTGGTATGTCTCTGTTAGTTAAAGATCATAAAACTAGTTTTCCTTTTGTTACAGCATTGAAAGAGTTGTTGGAGCACAAGAGCAGGCCTGATGGAAATTGGGCTGAGGGGAGCA